TTTTGTAGGGTGCCACAAGTTTGTTAAAATTTCCAAAGGGTGCCGCGACTGAAAAAAGGTTGGGAAACACTGCTCTAAACCACCGTCAGTGAGAGACAAACATCCTAAAAGCATTCTTAAAAGAAATGGTTCATCTCAAAAGTAAAATCATATTATTTTTAATTATGCATATGTTCCTCAAAGTTTACAAAATATTTGAATGGAATTAGGGTTGTTTACTAGAACAAAAACTATATACAAATTTGCTGAAATAAAATAAACATTAACTGAAATAAAATATATATAATATATAAAATATATGTAATAAAACATATATAATAAAAATGTAAGCTTATTTTATTTAAAAATATTAACAAAAACTGTAACAGTATCATTGATACAAAAATAACATTGCATTGAATTCAAAAGTGTTTTATAAAGTGTCAAGCTCCAAAAAAGGACAAAATGTACCATAAACATATCATAAAAAAGGTTTACAACACTATCAACTATTTTACAATACTATCACAGACTTCTAATATAGCTTATTAATAATACACAGTGGAGATCAAAATGAGAGAACAACCTACAATTTCCTAAATTTCAAGGCCACTGCTTAATCCTATTTGAAGTTATTCTAACAGGAGTAGAAGGACAGTTTTTTAAGCATATTTCATAAATTAATTGTATTCTGAAGCATAGTATAAAAACTTAAATTAGATATTTGAAAAAGAACTCTGATCAAAATTAGAGAACACTTATAGATGCCTCCAAGTTATTGGCGTTAATCAGGCACCTGGTGCTAATTTCATTAATTATATGACAAACCCTAATTAACTGGAAACATTCCTCTAATTTGGATGGCGGGCCGCTCTAAAGTGACTGAAAGTCTGTGACAGGAGGTGGTCCAGATGAAGGCCAAAGAGAGTGACACTTTCAGCCACTGCAAGAGAAGCTGGTCGTTCCAAATCTGAGATTTCTCAAATATTGCAGCTTTACAATGACACCAATTAATTCAAGTCCCCCAAAAAGGATGTGGAATTGCTCACCAGTTGAACACTGAACAGGGTAAAGATCTGTTTAAGAGAAGTCGGACTGAAAGCGCAGTCTGCAGCGACCAAGCCTCTCATCAGCAGAAAGAATCAAAAGGCTAGACTCACCTTTGCTGAGGAGCATGTTGTGTGGAGAGAGGAGAACTGGTAAAAAGTTCACTTTAGTGATGAGAGCAAGTTTATTTTATTTGGGTCAGATGGGAAACGGTGTCAAACTGAGGAAAGACTGAAGCTCAAGTGTGTAAAGAAGTCAGTGAAAAGGTGGAGGAGGAAGTGTCATGGTTTGGGGGATGTTTTCTGCAGAAGGAGTTGGGCCTCTTATACAGATACATGGCAGGGTTAATGCAAATGTTTATCGGAACCTCCTTCAACAACATGCAGTACCTTCCCTGCAAGCAGCTCACAATCAGCCTGCAATTTTCATGCAAGGCAAAACTCCCGTCACACAGCAGAACGGGTAAAGCAGTTCCTTGAAGCGGAAAACATTGAAATAATGAAATGGCCGGCCCAGAGTCCTGATCTAAACCCAACTGAAAATCTCTGGAAAATCCTTGGCGACAAAGTTATGGCTAAGAAACCCACTATAGTCACCGAACTGTGGAAGAGACAAGAAGAAGTGAGGATGAAGCGATGAAGATTAACAATATTTCAGAAAAAATCAAGTATTTATAGATTGTTCTCTAATTTTGATCTCCACTGTACTTCATACAAGTTTTGAGTGACATTAGAATAAGTTTTGTTTTTGATTTTTTGTTGAACTGTTAAAAATGACAAAGAATAAACATGGATGGATTTGTCAGAAGTGATTTCTTTTCATGCTCAGTAGTTGGAGCAGGTATTGATTTTCATGCGTGTTCAGGTTTGAGTTTGTACTGTTCTCTGCAGGTTTGAGCTGCTGTTTGCTGAGCTGGAGATGAATCGAGACGAGTTGGGCATCGCCAGCTACGGGGCGTCTGTTACCACCATGGAGGAGGTTTTTCTCAGGTATTTGCGCACAAGACCACAAATAATCAAGAATCTCTAATGATATTGTGGGCTGATTTTCCCACCAGGTCCCACAGAGTTTTATTTTTTTCCTAGCTGTATTATTAATACTATTACTATACTATTATACTATACTATAATAGTATTTAATAACTATTTTATTTTATTAAATTTTTTATTTTTAAATTTTCATTTAAATTTTAGTGTAAATTAAATTATTTAGTGTATTATTAAATATTTAGTAATTTTGTTGTGGCTTTATCATTTTTAGTATTTTTAAAGCTATATTTCTATATAGCTTACATTTATTTATTTTTTTATTTAATTTTAGTGATTTTGTCACTTCAACTTCAACTTATTTCAGTTAGTTGCCAAGGCATCTCTAATTCTCTAAGTTTTTCATCAAATTTAAATTTTTAATTTCAGTGTTATTTCATTTGGCAAAAATTATTTTTAATAGTTTTAGTTTTAATTACCAATAACAACACTGTCTCGCTCTCCTTTTAAATCTCATAATCACTCCAAAGTTGTGTATTCTTTTCAATAATGTCACAAACAAAGGGAAATGCATTAATATTAGCATAAATTAAGTCACGCAGCACAGATGATGGCTTTTCATGTTTACATATCAATACCTATAAACTACATTAGCATGTTTGCTGAAATGTAAAAAGCTTGAAATTTAAGTGAAAATGTGTTGCTAGAAAAAATGTAATTTTGTAAACCGTATGTTCCCTGAGAAAGACCACACCTAAAATCACGCTACAGATTTTAAATGCTCTTTCAGAGCTTCCCAGTTCGCCTGGGAGCACTTTAGTGACTCAGAAGAACCGATTCGTTAAAAAAAAGGACTTCTCAACCCTACAGGGAACTGAGAAGTATGATTTTGCAGGACTAAATGACAGATCTCTGCTCTGAAAACACACCCTGCAGAAACGTGCTCAGTTCTCTAGTGTCATTCACAAGAGCATGCTTAACCACTGCTCCTTTTTTCATCTCCAAAACATTTTTGCTAATGGTTTTGGGGAGCTCAAGTGCAGTCTTAAGTCTTCTGTCCTACTTTAAATGGCCATGAGCTGTAGGACGGGGCGCAGATTGACAGCTTCAGTGCTGCTATCCCTCCTTCAGCGTCATTTCTCTGAACCCTTCTACATTTTACACGCCCAGCTGTGTCCCAGTAACGGCCACTTGCTTTCATGCAGATCCTCATGTATGTGTCATCTTTTATGTAACTCATGCTCTCAGGGTCGGGAAGCTCGTGGACTCCAGTCTGGATATTCAGGCCATCCAGCTTCCTGCTCTGCAGTACCAGCATGAACGGCGGTCACATGACTGGACCATGGATGACTCCAGCAGCATCAGTGGCATGACAGACGTGACGGATTTCACGGACAGCGGCACTATGATCTCAGAGGACGGCTCCAACATCAAACTCAACACTGGGGTCAGTGACTTCAGCGCTTCTCACGGAAAACTTAATGTGCTTTCAGAAATGAGGTGCTATTAAGTAGTCGAACTAAAACAGCTGAAGAAAACCCCTACTGTACTGACTGAGATTGAAAGATTCAGAATATTATAGAGGCTTGTGGACTCTTTTGACTTGGCATCCTGACAACGACTTATATAGACAAGCACTATTCACATGGTCATAAATATTATCATGTATATTTAGTATATTATTTCTCTAGCACCTCTAAATGCCACTGTAAGTTTTCCTGTATGTAAGAATGTCAAAATAGGGCTTGATTTAATTTTCAACTTGTTGAAAATTACCTTCATAAAATGTTGTTCATCCATCTCACTAGGTCAAATTAAATGTTAATAGTGAATGTTTCATATATATATATATATA